GATCTGGGCAGTGGTGGCAAGATTCAGCCACTGCCCAAGTGCAATTGGAGGAAGATGGAGAAAGAGAATGAGAAATAAGGACATGGAGTAGAGAGAAGGAAGAGGAGAGAGAAAAAAACAGATAAGAAAGGGAGAGGAGGAGAAAAGAAGAAAGAGAGAGGAAGAAGACGAAGGATGAGAAAGAACAATAGAAGGTTAGGGTTTGAATAATTGAAATTGAGGATTTTTTATTTAATGGAATCAATTTTTTTATTTTTTTATTTTTGAATTTGGATTAATTAAAGTATTTTAATTAATATAATTAATTATATATTATATATTTAAAAAAATATTGATGTGGAAAGTAATGATATGATAGGTGATGTGATTTGTCACGTCAGATGCATGTCATTTTGGGGCAGTTTATTAAAAGGTCATCTCAAGTTTAAATTTAATTAAAAGGCTATGAAGTTTTAAAGTGTTAACTAAATAGCCTTATTATTGATTAAGGGTAATTAAACTTGATTAGTGCTTAATTAGAATTAATGAAGTATTATATAATCTTTTAAAAATTATACTATATTCCCAAAAACCCGAAATTCTTGCAAACAAACCCAAACACCTTCTTCTTCCTCCCGCCATTAACGCATCTCTACCTTGGTTGTTGTTTCTTCTTAGCTTCGTCTACATCTTCTTCTTCCTTTGCATCTTCTTCTTCGTCTACATCTTCTTCTTCCTCCTTCCTCTACATCTTATTCTTCCTCATTCCTCTGTATCTTCTCATTCCTCTGTATCTTCTTGTTCCTCCGCCATTAACACTTTCTTCTTCCTCCACCATTAACATCTTCTCCGCCAAAGATCCCCCTCCTCCTCCTCCTGAAATTTCATCTAAGTATGTGTATCTCCTCTTTACATTTTATATTTAGATTTACAAAGATTTAATAATGGATAGGGTTTGGGTTATGATTTTGATTTAGTTGTTTAGGTTGTTAAGTTGTGTTTGATATAATGCAAGTTGAAATGAGTGAAATTTGTTAAATATTTTCTTACATTGTGAGTAGCTAGGGGTGATAGCACCGATTGTAGGTGGAGATGGCTGAAAATGTGTTTTGAATCTAATGGATCGCTTAAGCGATCTGGTATATGACAGAAGATCGCTTAAGCGATCTGGTACAAGTCTGGTGTATGGTACCAGATCACTTAAGCGATCTTGTATATGACAGAAGATCGCTTAAGCGATCTGGTATAAGTATGGTATATGGCAGCAGATCGCTTGAGCGATCAGACTTATTTGTACTAGATCGCTTTAGATCGCTTAAGCGATATACTGGATCGCTTAAGCGATGCTGTAAACAATATACTTCTGTGAGAAATTATATTCCATAATGTTTATTTAATATTTAGTCCTTTTTTATTAATTATTAATTATTATTTTCATTTCAATGGAATGTGAAAAGAACACTTCGGTCTTTGTCAATTAGCACCGTACATAAAACTGAAAAATCTATTGTTATTCTATTATTTTTGTTAGTTCTTGGCAAGAAAGTAATATAAAAAAATATAATATTGATATAAAATTGAACTCTGCAACCATCTACTCTACACTCTGTAGACCAAGGCTAAATAGACGAGATCGCTTAAGCGATTAAGGGTAATTTACTTCAATATTTATTTTCCATGTTTATGGACATAAGTTTAATATAGACGTAAAAGAACTAATTTAATTAAAATATAATAACGGTCATGGTCCACTAAATGAATCGTACACCTGATGTGTTTAATATAGACGTAAACATTCTACACCATATATGTTTAATATAGCCGTAAAAGAACTAATTTAATTAAAATATAATAACGGTCATGGTCCACTGAACGAATCGTACACCTGATATGTTTAATATAGACGTAAACATTCTACACCATATATGTTTAATATAGCCGTAAAAGAACTAATTTAATTAAAATATAATAACGGTCATGGTCCACTGAACGAATCGTACACCTGATATGTTTAATATAGACGTAAACATTCTACACCATATATGTTTAATATAGCCGTAAAAGAACTAATTTAATTAAAATATAATAACGGTCATGGTCCACTGAACGAATCGTACACCTGATATGTTTAATATAGACGTAAACATTCTACACCATATATGTTTAATATAGCCGTAAAAGAACTAATTTAATTAAAATATAATAACGGTCATAGTCCACTGAACGAATCGTACACCTGATATGTTTAATATAGATGTAAATATTTTATACCATATATGTTTAATATAGCCATAAAAGAACTAATTTAATTAAAATATAATAATGGTCATGGTCCACTGAATGAATCGTACACCTTATATGTCTAAGATAGCGTTAATCGCTTAACCAATCTAGTGAAATACAATAAAAATAATCCAAATACATTGGATCGCTTAAGAGATTTCATTTCTCACTTAAGCGATCCTGTGTATTTAGACCTAGTCGCTTAAGAGATCTGGTTGTATTTATGTTATCGCTTAAGCGATTCTATGCTTTTACACTTGGTCGCTTAAGCGATGACGAACAAGACAGAATCAATAAGTGCCCAGACACACGATCGCTTAAGCGATTTATTCTATCGCTTAAACGATCCTTTGCTTTTAACCTTGGTTGCGTAAGCGATTACAAATCACTTAAGCGATCATGTCCGAGGCAGAATAAACTTCTGCCTAGATGCACAATCGCTTAAGCAATTAAGTGTATCACTTAAGCGATTCTTCGCTTTTACTATTACGATCACTTAAGCGATCATGAACAAGACAATAAATAAGTGTCCAGACGCAGGATCGCTTAAGCGATTCTTCACTTTTACTGTTGGTCGCTTAAGTGAGCGATCATGAACAAGACAATAAATAAGTGCCTAGACGCATGATCGCTTAAGCGATCCTTTGCTTTTAACGTTGGTCGCTTTAAGCAATTTATAATCGCTTAAGCGATCATGTCCGAGGCAGAATCAACTTCTGCCCAGATGTACGATCGCTTAAGCTATCTAAAATCGCTTATACCAGATCGCTTAAGCGATCTTTTGTCATATACTCTTGGTATGTCTGACGCTTGGAATTTGCGTCGGCATCCCCCTCTTCAATTTCAATTTCAACTCTTGCCCTCCCTTGTTCCCCAATAGAATGTCTCCCGTCGATGCCGTCTCCTCTCCTGGTGGAGCAACTTCAGTCATCGGAAGTTACTCCACCACAACTTCTTCTTCTCCATTTTTGGTAGACCTAGTGGTGCCTACAATTTGGGGAGTAGATAAGTTTTTTTCTGTTTCTTTAAGGATCTCAGCCATTACAACTTAATCAGGAATAGCAAGGAATGACAAAAATGCAAAGAGCAAAGAAATTGAGAAATTGCAAAAAATTGGAAGAAAAAACGAGAGAGAAAAAAGTGTTTGAATCTTGTTGTGAGAAAGAGAAGCTGAGAGAAATGTGTTTTGCCTTTCAAATTTTAAATCAACTTCTCTTTATTATACTCTAACCCACAAATGTTTAAATCTTTTCACCCTAATCCTTTTTGCTGCTTTCATTACACTTAAGTGTGTCACGTCATATTTTTTAACCCAAAAAAAAAAATCAAAAAGATTTTCATGGCCATTTTGTTAAATGGAAACTTGGGATGGCCGGACAGCTAAATTTTCTCTGTCATTTTGTACCAAGTGTATGTAAAATTAACATTTCTCTTCACCAGATTGGTAAATCACGGTCAGTTTTCTTCGTAAACACAACGAGAAATTGCCAGAAATGCACGCCCCATTTTATCCCCAATCTTTTCTATACTTCATTCTTTGGACAAGATATTTTTTTATCTTCTTCTTCTTCCTTTATTTTTTTATTATTATTTGTTTTACTGCTTTTCAACCAAAATATACGGATATGATATTTGTTATTACTTAAATACTTTTATAAAGTTCAAACTATTCTTTTATCTTTGCACTTTGCCATACTTTAAACACATAAAAACATGAAATAAACTATTTTTGGGTGGTCGAATAATTCGATAGAAACTCTTGTGTGTATTACTTAAGAGGTCCTAAGTTCGAGTATTTTCTGAGTTACTAATAAGTGTAGCCACTTAAATTCTTACCCAACCAATAATTCTAGGGTTTTAGAGAATTAGTTAAAGTGCGTGTAAATGACCCAGATACCTCAATCATGAAAAAAAAAAAAAAATACAATGAAATAGAGGGGTCAATTTTTGACATTGTAATAAACATATGTTTAATGTGTTAGAATATATAGACATATAAGTTGATTTTAAATTCCCGAAAAGAAAATGAAATTAATTTAGATTTTTTTTAAAAAAAAAAAAAAAAATACGAACCACTTAATAAAACCCTTAATGGGCCCATTAAAATAGGAGCCATGCATTAGATTGAGTTCACCAAAATTTAGTGTACCATATCAAAACATGCCCTAGTTTTCATTAAGTAAATAAATAAATAAAATTGAGCGATATGAACCATTTCACGGTCAATGAGGCATTGATATTGGCATTTTGGAATGAAAGGCTCCTGGGAGTGCAACGTGTCTTATTATTATATTAACAGTTGTTCTATTCCAGGATCCAGAGCATCCCATGAGGTCCTAATTTTTCTTGCTTGCTTTACCAAGCAAGAAAAATTAATATACAAACAATTAGATTTCATTTTAGTATTGCACATTTGACATAATAAAAAAAAAATTTAATTATATATATATATATATATATATCCTTTAAATTTTATTTATGTGATAAAAATTTAATTATATATATTTAAAAATGTGAATCCTAAGTAAATTGATAACAGAATTAAGTTCACATATTAATAAAAAATAGAGTTATAGTCTTTCATAATGTCAATGGAAATTTAATATAAGATATTGTTTTTATTTTAATACATACAAAAAAATTTGAATTTTTATTAATGTGATAAATTTAGTAAATATATTAAATATCCCAATTTTTAAGTAAAGGGCGAAAAATAAATAAATAAATGTTGTAGAGTAACTCGGATGATCCAATCTTGACTAGAGAGTTGAGACAGAACATAACTGAAGTTGTCCCCAACCAAAAAGTATGGTCCTAAATAAGTGTGTAGGCCTAGCCATAACAACCACCACCTCCACCTTCGTCTCCTCCTCCACGTCATCCCTCCTCCTCTTCTCCTCTTCTCTCTCTTCTAAACTCCCTCTTTCTCTCTGTAAACCCAATCCCATCACTCTCCCTATAACTAGAAAACCCATTTCTCTTTACAATTCTCCCATGAACATTCTCAACAAGCTTGGTTTCGGTTTCAAGCCCACCCCTGACCCCGCCTCCATGGAGAATTCCTCAATCGTTCAGGGCCCTGATGATGATGTGCCGGCACCAGGTCAGCTGTTCGCTGAGTTCGGCGCTGGGTGCTTTTGGGGTGTTGAATTGGCGTTTCAGAGAGTGCCTGGTGTTACCAAAACTGAGGTTGGATATAGTCAAGGGTTTTTGCATAATCCTAGTTATGAAGATGTGTGTACTGGGACAACTAATCATAATGAGGTTGTGAGGGTTCAGTATGATCCTAAAGAGTGTAGCTTTGAGACTTTGCTTGATGCTTTTTGGGCCAGGCATGATCCCACCACGCTTAATCGCCAGGTTTGTTTTTGTTTAATTACTTTTAGCTTTGAATTTTTGAGGTGGGTTTTGGACGATTAGATTGGTTCAATTTATTTTTATTGGTAATTTTTGTGGGTTTTTGACATTATTAAAAATTGTGTTGAGTAGTACAATTTAGGGATTAGCTTAATGGGTGGCAATATTGAAGAATTAATGTTAATTTTGTTTTTGTTCAACTAGGGTAGATGGATTTTTACTTGTCAATACAATTATATCATTGGCAATATTGTACAACTAGGGTAGATGGATTTTCAGTTAGAGAGTCTGAAGTAATTTGGAGTTTTTGTTATCAAGCTTTGATTTCATTTGGTTAAGATTGCTAACTTATCAAGGTAAGAATTATTCATGTCGTCTTCTTAAGGAAGCATCTTGTATTTTTGGTTTTGTACCATAGATGCAAAGGAAGTTCCTTTTCGCCATATTTTCTTGTATCGAAATTAAGAAGAATATGAAATCATGTGTGTCTATTGGCGTCTCATGGGTTCTCTGGATATCTTGTAGCAGACTTGCTCCGTTAGGATGCTACCCGATTTCTTTCCTGAAGTTGAGTTTTTAATTAATACAGTTCTGTTTTATTTACAAATTACCTTGATCAATAAATAATGAGTTTGTTAATTCTTTGATTTGGAAGTGTTCAGCCCAGTGGTTGCATAGCTGAGTCTGTAATAAGGTTGCATAGCTCAGAACTGAACATTTAAATTTATGGGTCACAATTCGAAAGTAAGTGACTTTTGAAGAGGATTTAGTTGGAAGCCCGAACTATAGATGGTTGTGTCATAACCTGATCACAAGTTATAATCCTGGTCTAGATTGTATGGAACCTATTAAAGAATGGCAAATGTCTGTACCGTCTTCTTTGGGCTCGACCTTAGATAGGTATACAGTAAACACTGTGAGGCTTGTCTTCCACTTTGCTATTTTGTTGCGATTGATTGATGAATATGAGAGGAATATTTCGTCCAATCCTATTGACCATATTGCAAACAGTTTTGCTGCGATTGATTGATGAATATGAGAGGAATATTTCGTCCAATCCTATTGACCATATTGCAAACAGTTTTGCTGCAATTGATTGATGAATATGAGAGGAATATGTCTTCCAATCCTATTGACCATATTGCAAACAGTTTCGCATTTTTAACAGTTCATTAATTCTTTATGGCAGGGTAATGATGTGGGAACTCAGTACAGGTCTGGAATTTACTTCTACACCCCTGAGCAAGAGAAGGCAGCTCAAGAGTCTTTGGAACGACAGCAGAAGCTTTTGAACAGGAAAATTGTTACCGAGATTCTGCCTGCCAAGAAATTCTACCGAGCCGAGGAGTACCACCAGCAGTACCTTGCGAAGGGAGGGCGTTTTGGATTTAAGCAATCTACTGAAAAAGGCTGCAATGATCCTATCAGATGCTACGGCTAAGTTGTCACGTGTCTTAACAGGCAAACATTGGGTTAGTTGGACATCTTGTTCCTAGATTATGGTTGTTATTTATTATCATACTTGAGCTCTTATATTTGCTTTAGTAACAATGCTTGATGCATTTAGTTTCGGAACAAAAATCTGTAATTAGTAGTCGATTACTAAGAAATTGTCTATACTTGTGTGTTTAACTGTTTGTGTAAAGGTTATATCCAGCAATTGGATCAATTTGGTTTATGCAGTAGCTAGTAGGATAATGAATTTTCTCTGGTTTGGTTTTAAGTGTGGATAATTATATGCAATGCGAAGGTTTGTATTATATTGATAGGATGATTATATAATTATCTGTTGATATGCAATGCCAACCTTGTGATGTTGTCTGGAATAAGTCTGAGCAGAGGGTTGTGATTCAATTTTATCAGTATGTGCTTAGTAAAGTTAGTATACATAGAACTCATCAAGCATCTGATTCTGGCATTGTCGATGCATTGTACTGGCTTCAACTTCTCCTATTTTGCTAGAATTTTATTTCTATGAGATACTGTGCGCATATCCATCTCATTTTCCCCATGTATGTTTTCAATATTTTGCTAGCTGACTAGTTTTTTTCTGTTTCAGACATTACTGCTGTGTGAAATTATAAATTTATAATTGTGATGGTTATAACTGAGCCAGAAACACTAATCAAAATGATAAACTACCAATAATTATTTTGATAAAGTACTTGAATCTGAGTTCGCCTTTTCATTTGAAGTTGGTCCAATTCATTTATATTTGTTGGATTAGCTGAGATTCAATTGAATTTATTTATATTTGAATGAGCTATATGGGGATTTTTATGATTGAATGGTATGAGATTAAGTACAATTTTCTCCGACTTGAAGGACTAAGAGGGTCGCACTAACCCATATGTATTTCAAACTAATCTTTTTATTACACCATGATGAACTTAACTAACTACCATATATTATTAGTCTTATTTAGATCCGCAGTTGGGAATTTATCCGCTTCATCTCATGTACATTAACTTCGGGTACGAAGAGTATTCACAGCTGAACAGAAGTTTTAGCAATGGCACCGGCCTCGGTAAGAAGGGCCACAACCGTACCTTCTTGGTGTTTCTGAATCAGAGCTGCAATAACAGAACCAGCCAATAAGAAATTTTACACTGGCTTGAGCTTCAACACAAAGAAAGCAATTCAACTAATGGACTTACCGTCACATCCACCAAAATGTTTCCCACCAATAAACACATTAGGTACAGTCCTCTGCCCGACCCGCTGTGCCAAAGCCGATCGAATTTCTTCTCCATCGCCATCAATAAGACCAATTTTCATCAAACAATCTTAGAAATTTACTGATAAGCTATAAGGATTTGATATAAAACTTAGAGGGCTTACTTTCCTCATCAAGTTTGGTCCCAGCTGTGTAAGCAATTCCTTGGCCCGTCTGCAATAACCGCAGTAGGTTTTGCTGCAAATACATATACACAATAAACATATTCAGAAAACACATTCATTTTAAGTTAATGTCTTGAGACACTGGAGACATGAAGAAACATATTGGTAAAATTTAGTACCTAAACATAACAACGGGAAAGGAGGTGACAATCTCTTTGTCCTTGTTTAGTGCAATTTCTCCAGTTCTTCTAGATTGAAAAAACTCTACATGCACCGATCCACCCCTTTTTTGTTCTCATTTACTGTAGGTCTGAAAGAGAGAGTAAAGCCAAAGTTGAGCACAGGTGTTGAGAGTTGATATAAGTTGTTAGCAAATGGCAATAAGAGGGTCGATATTATTTACAAGTGGCTTGTCGCCAATAACCCAAACTACTTGCTCAGCTTCTACAAAGAGACAGAAGCAAAAGGGCGACGCTTAAATCTGCAGTGATTAATTTTACAAGAACCTGAATCAATTTTAGGATATACATGATTATTGTCCTGAGAGTTTCAGATCATTCATTGTTCTTGTTCTTGTTGTCGTGGAGAATTTACCAATAAAATCCTGAAATTGGTTCAAGTGGTTGCTTAATAAAGGCGCTAACTGAGGAATATCTCAATATAAAGTAAATTATTCAACAAAGAGAGATCCAAATTGTTGAAATTAAGATGATCAAAAGGGGGCACGGCACGTATGCACTTTTGACACCAACAAAACATAAACTAAAACGACGTGTGTGGCATGAGCCTGTGAGTCCATGAGAATTGAACTAACTACGCGGGTCACTGTCATTGGCTAAATTTGATGCATTGAATATTGTTGTCCTTGTTTAATGCGTATGGTGCACTTATTTTAGTAGATTGAAAGGCAGCGAGTCATGGACATGGACGGACCACTCCCTCTGCATTAAATTAAGTGGAAAATACGTATTAAATTATTAAAATTAAAAGAACGCTCTCTAAGTAAGATTGATATCAAACAGTGGTAAGGAATTTCAGAAGATTTGACATTTTGGTGAGCTGATTAATTAATTATCCTTTTTGGTATAAATGCTTCTCATGTTATCTTTTTCTTATTACTCCTCTTGAAACATGCGAGAAGTTTTTTGATTTAGTTGGATAAGTGTACAAGAAACCTAATGCTTCCAAAATAATCCGCTGGGTTAACCAATTTAATGCTTAATTAAACAAACTCTAATTTAAAGTTTATATTATTAAGAATTAATCCACCCACCATAATCATGCTTTTTAACAACTTGAATAAATTGTGCTTCATTATTGATTGATCGAGATTGCCATAATCTTTGTTGAATAAATTCTATTTTGAATATAAACAAAAATTAATGCAGCTAAATTGAGTTTTGGGAATTTGGCACTTCAGTCCACCTTATCCTTCGCAATGATTAGAGCTAAAACGACGAGTAATTTCCTATCCTAACGTGCCACTTTTAGATTACTTTTATTTATGACGCTCCAATTGAAGCACATCCATATAATCCGTTCCTTTTAACTCATTATTTAATTATTGGTGCCATATTCTAAGATTTAACCAAGAAAAAAAAGTTACCCATAACAGTCAGAGAGTTTTACTTCTTTCTTTGAATTTTTAGATTCAAACATTAAGACTACCTACTATAATAATATTATAACTTACTTGATCTTTTGAATTTATAGGGTGTTCAATGAACTTCGAAAATTAGTTGAGGTACGTACAAATTAACCCAAACACACCGATTATCAAAAAAAAAAAAAAAATACCCATAACTTCAACAAATTGTAAGATCCTTTTTTTTTTAAATAACTATCAAAATTAAAGGTTTGACTGTCAAAGTTGAGAATTGGCAGCTATAACAATTTGAAAACCAGTCCTAAAATTTGGTAAGTAAATTGTCTTAATTAGACATGAATCATGGCAACAGCAAGGTGTCATATAGAAAATCGAAGCTCAAATATAGTGAAAGTGAAAGTATCTAAAGTCGCAAGGCACACCAAAGAAATTATAAGCACACGAATGCTAGCTAATGGTTATAAGGTCACAGTCAAAGTCACATTTTATTAATATTAATGAAAGCTGTCTATACGCAAATATGAAAATATTAGATGCAATTAATCAAATTCAATAACAATTCATTCACTTAAAAGTTACCATATGAAATTCATAAGTGAGTTGATATAAAAAAAAAAAAATAATAATAAGTGGATGTAGATCAGATCTGGGGCTTTTGGGACCATTGTTTCCAACTCAGATCTTCACTGTTTATATGATTTTGCTTTTTGATCACACATTCATGTATAAGACAAACAAGTAAAGGTTAATGTGGGTGTGTTTGAGAGTGTTTTCAAAAAGCGTTTTTGGTAAATATATTTTCTGTAATAGTGTTTGATTAAACCCTAAGGAGTGGGTTTAACGGTAAAAAATGTTTGCTCACTTCCTTGACTTCCTAAGTTCAAACCTTGAGACCAAAATTTTGGTAATTAAGATGTCTGGACCAGTTTGTATATACTTTAACTAATTTCTGATAGAGATATATTGAACACCCTATAAGTCCAAAGACTCTGTATATGCATATTCTAATTATTAATGCTCTTATCTTCACTCACTCAATCCTGTTTGGTACAACTTTTTTAAGTAGAGTTTATTAAAAACACATACTTTTAATCAGGTTATATCTCCGTATATTTTCTTATTTTAGAAGATAAAGTCATTACCCTTTCACTAACTCACAAGTAAACTTTTGGTCCATGATTACCTCAATTAATTTAAATGTTAGGATAAATCTTTCATAATTGCTCAGCAACCTCCACACCCACCAACCCAAATTATAATATATTCATCAAATATATATTTTTATCTTGGCTTTCTAATTGATTTGATTAAATTAATTAAATAAATAAAAATGATGACATTGCAAAATTCTACAATTTATGAAACTCAAAAGGATAAATATGTCATTAATTTAAAAAAAAAATTAAAAATGAATAGCAATTGCTGTCAATTGAACCCCACAAATAAACGAACAGCTCTCTTCAAAGTACCAGTCCTCAATTCCCCTCTATATAATAAATGAGCCACAACTGTTAACCAATTTATGCAAAAGCAAACTCAAATAACAATAGCTTGCTGTGTCTTACAAGACAAACCCAACTCAACCAAACCAACCAACGATGACCACTCTTCAAGCCAACCTTGAAGATCAAGCCGATTCTGTCATGCCTAAAGTAATAGCTATTCTCTCTTCTCTTCTTCAACGTGTTGCTGATTCTAATGATTTTAGCCGTCGTCTTCAACCCCAGAAGATCTCTGTTTTTCATGGCCTCACTCGCCCTACCATTTCCCTTCAAAGCTATCTAGAGAGGATCTTTAAGTACGCAAACTGTAGCCCCTCTTGCTTCGTTGTTTCCTATGTTTATCTTGATCGTTTTGCTCAGAAACAGCCCTCTTTGCCCATCAATTCCTTCAATGTGCATCGCTTGCTTATAACCAGCGTTTTGGTCTCTGCCAAGTTCATGGATGATATGTAAGTTTCTTGTGACATTTTCTTTGTTTTAAATTCTAATTCTTTCATTCAATTCTTGATCTTTTTCATACTTTTCTTTTCTTTTCTTGATCTTTCTGTTTTTCTCTCCTTCTAAAGAATTTAAGTTTCTTGATTGAAATTTTCACTTTGCTCTTAGTGGAACACTTTAAGAACCCTTTTCTTTTCTTTCTTTTTTTTTTTTTTTCTTTTTTTTTTTTTTTTTTGAGAAAAGATTTTTAGGTTGCGTTGTGTAATATATAAAAGTTTCTTGATTGAAATTTTCACTTTGCTCTTAGTGGAACACTTTAAGAACCCTTTTCTTTTCTTTCTTTTTTTTTTTTTTTTTTTTTTTCAGAGAAAAGATTTGAACTCTCTTGCGTTTAGATTGATGAATTAAAAGTGTGATTAATTAAGGACTTAGACTTAATTGATACTGGGTAGTTTGTCGGCAACAATTACAAATAGGCGGAGAGTAGAAAGTAATTATAGGAATATGAAAAGCGGAGTGTTTTAGCAGACAAGTTCATACATGATGTTCAGTTCTGGTCTCAATCTATCTGTCAATGAATGCCTGTAATTCCCATGAAATCTGCAACCATCAACATGACATTGTTAACTCATTATTGAAACCTTAATGACAGCTCAATCAAAACCCATCCGTATTCATTTCCACTTGTCCCCTGTGTTATTTACTCATTGGCCCAACAGTCACTTTTCATTTTTGCCTCTTAACTCATTATTACTGTTGGTGGGTTGATTACATTTGGATGAATTTCTTCTTTATTTGGGTAATTTCCATTAAGATTTCTTTGGCTTTTGACTTTGGTATGTTCAGTCATTTGATTTGTGTTATCATTTTGCAGCTATTACAACAATGCGTTTTATGCTAAAGTTGGGGGAATAAGCACAGCGGAAATGAACTTGCTTGAGGTGGACTTCTTGTTTGGTTTAGGGTTCCAATTAAACGTGACACCCACCACATTCCAAACCTACTGTTCTTTTCTTCAGAAAGAAATGTTTTTGCAATCTCCTCTGCATTTACCAGAACCTCCTCTAAACATGGCCAGGCCACTAAAGCACCATTGTTGTTTCACTGAAGACGAATCAGCCCATCAAAAACAACTCGCCGTTTAATTGCCTTTGTTAGAATTTCTACAATTGATTTTGTGGAGTACTGAAATATTATAAGCTTATAGGAATAGTTTGATCGTGAACTCAATGTGAACCTGGTTTGAAAAGGATTTACCATCTCTATGAATGCAATACGAAATTTTGTAAATATAATTGTTTTGAAATTAATCCGCTCAATAGTACCATTAATTGGCAATTCTAGACTTTTGAATTGAATTTATCTGTTGAAATAAGTAGTGGAGATGTACTGTACAGATGGGCATTTTGTCTTTACAGTCTGGCGAACGTGGTGAAGCTTAAATTAATTTAGAGTCTCCAAAGTGTATTTGCTGGCGCCAACCATGCAAAATGGGCAAGTTAAATGTTTATAAATTGAGGAGGCATAATCAGTGGAAACTAGAAAGCCTGCTTTGGGCTCTACAGTGAGTAGATGACCAAGAAAGACAGCTAGAGATACAAGTTTTGCAAGTAATGTTGAGACTCTCACGTTGGCTTTCGTAGATGGAAAAAGATCCTCTTGTTGTGATGATACATTGGACTCGAGGAAAATGGTTTGACTATTTCTATTTTTGATTGGAATCAATGAGCTTAGTGATTCAACACCTCATTTCTAACCAAATTCCAGGAATGTTCTTTTTAAAGAAAGGGGGGATAAACTTCATTGACCTTCCTGGTGTTGACTTAATTGCAAGACGTATTCTTTGATTTTAAAATAAGATCTCTCCTGCCTGCCTATAATTATCACTAGATTGAATCCGGTCTTTACACAAATCAGGTTGGCATAAGGTTGTTTAAATGCCAACCCGATTTGATCGGTCGAGTGTCGGGTTGGGCAGAAAACCCGGCCTGACCTGTGACAGTTTTTTCAAAAATTATGAAGTGATTAACCTTCTTCCTCATAACACTATACCACAAACCTCGCAGATTCTCTCTTAAGCCATAGATTCGGTCACCAGTACATCTATGGATTCAAACTGGCTATGTTTGCTTTTTTATTTTTTTATTTTTTTTATTTTTTATTTTTTGGCTTGGCAGTAAATTTATTTTAAATTCCTAACATTTAAATGAAGGGAAGTGATTTTTAGTCCCCAGGTTTTTATTTTTAACCTCCATCTATTTAAAAATATTATTAACAATGGTTTTCAATTCTTATACGTATTCAAACTTTTAGGATGAATTTATAAACATTTTATTATTTTGCTTAAGATCTGAAACCGTGTGATGTCTTTTGAAACTATGAGGTATCACCTCTAAAAACACTAAAAAAACTACCATAAACATTTTTTTGATTTAAGTTTCGTTATATGGATCAGTTTTTTATTCAAACGTAATTTGTAATAGATTTCCAAACTATAAAACTTAGAAAAGAAAAGAAAAGATAAAGATGCTAATAGTTGTGTTTGCTTTAGGTATATAACTATATGAGATCTAAATTCATGTCATAAAAGAGAAACATTAAGGGTGTGTTTCGTTTAGAATTTTGAGTTTGAGTAGTATTTTTAAAATATTATTGGTAGGTAGAGTTGAGTGATTATTACGAGATAAAATTTAAAAATTAACAAAAAAACCCCTTAGGTTTGCTAATTTAACTAAACACCTCAATATATAAAAATTTTGTAAAATAACAAAAACACCCTTACCCACCCACAGTTGTCAGATTCCGGCCACCATCGCCGAAATCAGGTGTTACGACGCACGACCAACCGGATCTGGCTGGTCGTGCATCGATCTGGCTTTTTTTGGCTAGATCCACCACGGATCTGGCCGAAAAAGGCCAGATCTGATGACCAAATCAGCACATTACCGACCAGTTTCGGCTAGTAGGGCACCATTGTGACAGATTCTAGCCACCTTCCGGCAGTGGTGGTCAGAATTTGGCAAATGTGGATAGGGGGTGTTTCTGTTAATTTCTAAACTTTTTTTTGGGGGGTATTTAGTTAAATTAACAAACTTAGGGGATTTAAAAATAATCGAATAAAATATAATCCAGAATAGGGAAACAATTGTGTATTTTGGAAATGATAGGAATGGGATAGGGGAAGAATATTGAAACAAACGGACCCTTAATTTTGATGATTATTATGAGATTTAATTTACTAGTGAAACATGAATTATGATTGACCTACATTTCTTTTAATTTTTCTATAACTGCAAATATAAAACTTTGAAATGAAAAGTATGGAGGAAAAAGAATATTTTTTAATAGCAAGTATATCCTCACTTAAAATAGAAGGTGGGGGGTTAAGGAAGAAAATGGTGGGGCCTAAAAGTGATTTCCTTTAAATGAACTTTGGGTTGTTAACTTCTCATTTCAGGTCCGATCACTTAAGAGCCCAACACTTTTGATTAAATTTGGGACATTTAACTATTTTAATAGTAAGGACACAAACCGCAAGCAATGATCGACTCGATTTGACCTGAGCTACAAGGTTAGTTCAGGTCTAATATGTTAGACCCGATTTTATGTTGAGTCTAATTAGTTCGGATCAAACCAGAACTTCCCCACCCTTAAAACCTAGTACAAATCTTTTGACAACAAGAGAGGTTGACATAACAAAATTTAGATAAGACTAAATATGCTCAAGTGTAACATCCATGCACAAACTAGCATCCATAAATAAACTTGAATCCACAAGATAAAACTCTAGAATCCACAAGAGACTTCTTGAATCCGCAAGAAAGTACATCATATCCATGATTCTTGATGCAAAATTCACCAACTAGAGTGATTTGATTTACCCTGACGGAATCGGAATTAATGTGTGTGTGATTACAGATAACTATCAATGTACAAATGGAAAATGCGATAAAGTAAATGGCACACTGAGTTTTTAAAGTGGTTTGGCGAGTTATACTCTTGAGCCTACGTCCACTATTTTTGTATTTGTTATGAGAGCTTACAATAATAGTCCTAGAACAATTTTCTAACCCCTTTCTCATCGTTGGAGAGAGTTTATATACAAATTATGTACAAAGGAAGGAGCGAAAATAAAAGGATTACAATTAAGATTGAAATGCAACTCTGATATTCTCGCGATTAAGCATTGAGATTGCGCCAAGATTGCTGTTGATCTGATCCCTTCCGAGATATTTGGGATCTAAAGTTATCTGTGAGCTAGTTGGACAACTGTAAGGATTGGTCGCAACTAACTTGTGCTAGGTCAAGCTACAACTTGACGAGCTTATGCTGGGTTGGACAATCGATTGAGTCGAACTAATTCTAGATCGAGCTATAACCTCGTAATTCTCTGAGCTTGATGAAAAAATCAGATACAACATTTGCGCCTTAGTGTTTGGTGCTTGTTTTGAGCTTGGAAAACTATTACTCGATTTGATATCAAGCTCAGATTTCATCGGTTGTGTGCTAAATACAGATTTGGTCGAGCTTTATGAGTCGAACTCATCTTCGGTCGATGTACTCAACACTTGGCTTTTTCTCTGTTTTGATATTCTTGACAAACTCAAAATTTGAAATGAAGGGTATATGTGTAACTTCCACGCAGTCATGTCGCCTTAAATGCGGTAGCCTTTGGCAGTTACTTTTCGTCATGTGTGGATGACTACAACTATCCACGCGCATAATTGAAGTGATGTGTGGCGATAGTGATGATTGTGGCAGCCTGACGGTTGATCGCCTCTCGTGGATGATCGACATGTGGCCATGTCCAAGGGCCAGGATTGCTTGATGAATGGAAGGCCAAAATTCACTATAGATTGATGGCTATGGTTGAATCTCGCCCTTTCGTCTCCAATGCACACCACTATAAAAGTGGCAACCTCGTCAAAAAGTCTACACACTTTGCAAAAGTTTCCAGATTTTCTTGCTTACCCCGTGCTACTCTTTTGCTTTTATGGTGCTTTTCTGGCGAGTTTCTTCCATCTTTTTACTTCGGTAAGGTTTCTTTCCCCTCATTTGCTTACTTTGATGTCTTTTTGTGGTTGAGGGTGGCTATTTCCATGGCCACATTGGGTCTTTTAGGGCTTTGTTAGGGTTTTTGAGTGTGTTTTCGACGGTTCTAGGTTTAAGGAGGGTTTACGGTGGCGGTGGCGGTCGCGGTCGCGGGAATCCGGGTAGGTCGCATGTGTCTGTTGTTCGACGTGAGCTACTTGAGTGCCTAAACTGAAAGCAAAGTGTCGATAAGTCACTAAATTTTCGAGCTCTGACACATGTTTGCTTCTGTTTCAGGTACCTAGAGGTGAGCTATTGTCATGTCTTCATTAAACAGCTATAACATTGATCGCATGTTCGATTCCCCAGCGGGGGCATAGTCCCTAAGGCTTCCAGGGATGTTGTTGCACGGAGCTTGGACCCCGATTCAGCGGGCTCTTCTGACCATGCTTCTGCCAAAGTTGCTCAATCGAAAAAATCTCTAGTCTATAGGCCGCACAAGAAACCACAATCCTTGATTAGGGTTGAGGATCTTAGGCGCATAATTGAAATTTATGTGCCTTAACTTTCCTTGAGGGCCCCGAGAGGCTTCTCCTAGAAAAATCCCCCCATTGACTATGTGGTAGTCTCTAAATCCCTTTTTGAGGTATGGGATGTCCATTCCCCCTTATCACTTTAGTGACAATGTTTTGAGACGATTTGACATCGTCCCTCTCCAGTTGTCAGCGAACTCATATATTATTATCGTAGGCTTGTACATAGCATACAAAATAGCGTAGTTGGGCGAGCCATTCGTAGAGGAGCTCATTCACTTATATAGGTTAAAAAGGGGTGAAGATCAAACGTATTATCTCTCCAAGGTGAGGAAAGTACATTTTCACAGTTTGATCGATGTTCCAAAGAAGGTCCCACATTGGGATTCACAATTTTTCTTTTATTAGGCCGAGGAGATTGGCGTTTTTGCTTTGGACACTAGTAAGATTTTGATCCTTGTGTGTGCAAAAAGTGTTTCCAAGCTTGACCATCGGATTAACCAAATTTCTTTGCTTTGCAATAAACGTCGAGCAAAACTTTCTTCCCACAACGAGCTTAGAGCAGCTTCAACGCTTTAACAATCTCTCCAATAGGGAGCACAACGTTAACAAGATTATCTCGCTTTCTCGGTTGAGGGCGTACGACTTTTGCATAGGTGAAGCCACATTCAACACTATTATCAAGAAACGTAAAGTGCTTACTTGCTCTA